TCATAATTCAAATAGTTTAAATATTATAATTACTTTTTTTCATATAGAGTAAATCATTTCCATTTTGCTTATAAAAATTAAATGAAAAAAATTATTTTATAATTAGTTAAAATATTTTTTCTAAACAACAAATATTATATATTTAGGTTTTATGTTTATCGATTCAAAAATTTGCCCATTATTACACAATTATCATTCAAACTCATTGCTTAAAATAATTTTTCAAATCTATAATTAATGATGTATACCTAATAAATTTCTATTTAGAACTAGTAAAGAATAATGTCTTTAACATTATAAATTATTGTATTACCTATTTATTAAACATGAGTGAATTTGAACAATCATATATTATATATTTTTATTTTGACATTCAAAGCAAAACATAATTTTAAAAAGTATTCAAAAAGAAAATTTATATGAAGATCCTTTTTACAAATTTTATTTATTTTATTAGATCTTTATAATTGAAAAAAATTTGTATATGATATATGCATTGGTTTTATTTTAAATTATTTTATTGTTTTTTTATATTTTTGAATGTGATAGTTATTTATCAGACATTGAAATAATTTATATTCTCATAAAAACAACTTTTCAAAGAAATTGAAAGATTGTAGGCCCTTTTAATTTTACCAAATCTTATTATTTATTGCCTATATTTATTTAAATTATTTCTGTGGTAATTATATTTAATTCCTATTTATGTCATATTATATTTTTTTTTTAAATTTAAGATTAACTATCATGGTTTTGTAGTGTTAAGCTGTAGTCTGACGTGTTTTACATTTTCATAAATACTGTATTTTTTTTATTAGGCCTACCAAATAATTGTGTGTTTTAGTGTGAATGGCCGTTAATAATTTGTTGGTATAAAATGCCAAACTAAAAATGAATAAATTGCATTTTTTTCACAATTGTCTGAATTGTATTGATTGATTGATGAATTATTTATATTCAAACATTCTTAAATATTTTTTCAATTAATATACATTAAAAAAAACAGTTATTGGCTTACAAATTAATATCCTCTTTGTTTCTCACGGCATATTTAATAACTAAATTACGAGATGAAAAAACCGTAATGTTTATTTTGTGAACCACCGTGTTATTATTACATGATTATTTTGTTGTAATAAAATATCAGTATTATATTTTAAATTTGACTATGTCGCGTGTATACATCCGTATCGACTCTATAACTGTGAACGTATTAATATTTTGTAAAATTTAAAGTTATTTTTGTGAGAGTTTTGAGTGTTTATTTGATTTGTACCTGAGTGTTTATATGTCAGTTTAAATTAAGATCTAATGATTTTTACACAAGTAGTTGTGACTATACAAAATAATTAGAAATCCTGTTGTAGGCTTTTATATGTTATGTTTGTCATACACAATCCTAGAATGAAAAAACATATAAATGTTCTGCAGGCTGCAGACTTAGAAAAATAAACATGTTTTATGAACTTTATTATTTATGTAAATTGCCACCTTGGTAGCAGCTGTAAATTATTTGAACGCCATTTTCATTAGTCATTACGTTTTAAATTGTAAATCAATAAGTCTACTGTTTAAGAATGTTTTGAACAATTATTTTGATTATTCCATATCTACCATAATAAATATATGACATAAGTATTATAACCTATATACTTATATTTTTCGCTATTTCTGTTCAAAATTATTTTTTTGTATGTATCCATGTCATGTTTTTACAAAATATAGTAATTTACTATCATATAATCATTGTTTTTCAAAAATGAGCTTTTGTGTTACTTAAAAATACCTATACCAATGTTTAATATTCTCAACTTATAAAGAAACACAATAGGAGAGAACAATTGCATGAGTGGGCGAGTGGCTTGAATTTGTCAGAATTAAAATATTATTTATGTATAGCAAATTAACATAGATTTATCTCCTATAGTCCTATTGTTTGCTATTATTCTGTGTAGGTTATACATGCATATCACCTTTAATAATTTAATATTATGCAATAATTAACTAAGTAGTAGGTATACAATCTTTAGTTATTATGTGTGTGGCAATTATTGAAGTGACTTTTTTAAAGACTATTCACACTGTTCTGGTAACTGGTAATGTGATATTGACTCATAAGTTAGGCAGTGAAAATAATAAATATGATATAAACATACACTTTTATAATAATAACTAAATATTAATTAGAATATAATAAATGCAATGTTTTTGCCAAAAATTAAATCCGTCTACCATAATTAGCATATAATTTAGGGGGGGGAGCGGTTAGAACAATCACCCCTGCAAAAACTGTATTGTAGTAAATAATCTATAGGTATATTTAAAAATGAATGTTGGCATGGTATGTCTCTTATGCCTTCCTACACCGCTGGACCGATTTTGATGAACATTTTTGTGTATTAAAGTGGTTCCTGAATGATTTAGATTCACAATTGGACCCGGTATGTTCCAATCTGAAGGGTTGCTTAAACGGCTATTTTGAGATTTATGAAAGACATTTTTGTTTATGAATGGTTGTTATTGGTTGTAGGAGAAATAATTAGTAGATATTGTTATTTTTTTTGTTTATTGGTTGTCATTGGTTAATCGGAACATGCACCAAATCGAATTTTTGCACATTGCCTACTTGCAATGTAGCTACAGAGTCACACTTATAGCTGCTCATTGGCATAGAGAGTTGGCATTTGTCATGGGCAACGAAGTGCACGGGTCCACTAATAATTAATAAAAAAAAAAAAAATAATTGGGATTTCTGGTAATGATTTATGAATTGACGTTAATTTCCTCCAAACAAGAAAGTACTTACTTATTTACTTGCCTGACCGTTAATCGGAATTGTATTGTCATTGATTATATATACTATTTATTTTTAATTAATGCTATAGGTAACTAAAATAAATTACCTCAATAGAAGTATCAAAAAACATATCTATCATAAAATAGGTACCTATACAGTGAGTTGATGAATAGGTATGCTGACCTCCGAGGGATCAGAATCCACTCAGAATTGTTAGGTATTCATATACAATTACGAATGAAATATGATAAATTGATATTAATATATCGTGGATTCAAATTTAACACCGTTCATTACAGTGAACCTATCTCTTTTGGTTTTCTAAATATCTTAAGATAGCACACGCTAAGTTTAAGTCTTCGTCGGTGAATTGCCGTTGTTTCCGGATACATTTAAATATGAATCTATATGACTATATACTATAGCAGTGATTATGCCCAACCTTTCTTTTTCGGTGGGCCACGTTAGTAAAATATTTCCTTCATACAAGCCGCTAATAGTATAGATAGGTATAATATTTCATTACCAGCTACTATTTATTTTTGTATTGTAGGTACCTCTTGCTGTATATTCGTAGCTATGACGTATATCGCACATGCATATAAAATGCTGAAAATGGCTTCTATGATTTTCAAAAATGTATAAATGCAAATGTTTTAGAAATATTGGACCTATATATTTTAACAGAAATAATTTTCAAAAAAATCAAGAAATTCCAATTTTAAAAATATAAATTGGAAAAATAAGTACCACGAGACAAACTAAACCAGTTAAAGGGAGAATTTATTTAACAAGGTTATTTATTTGCGTATTATATGTTTACATATAAGACGTTTTATAACTCGGCTAAGTAAATGTGGACGACTTTAGGACAAGTTATAATAGAAATATTTTGAAAAAATGGACAAAAAATTATGTTTAGCAGAGCGTGGTTTCGATCCACGGACCTCTGGGTTATGGGCCCAGCACGCTTCCACTGCGCCACTCTGCTAGTTGTAGAAGGGGTAATAAATAATGATATTTAAGCGTATGTCTCATTATTATGGTACCTAAAGCTATAGGCATTAGGCAATAAGTTCAATCCACGAGTTACAATATACCAATATACGTCATAGGTACGTGGTTTAGTGGTTAAGTCCTACTCTTGAGTCTTGACTCTTGTCTCTTAATAAACATGACTACCTATAATTGACTATTAGATAAAGTATTTGAATAATTTTTCTCGAGATTATTCTAGTAGGTGCATTCTGATATTTCTCTACAGGGAATATACCAATTATCATTTATCAATCTGGGTAGGTACCTATAGTTCTTCATAGCATTGCAAAATCATAATGTAATTCATTTTATTACTGAATACCGAGTACAGAGTAGATATATTTAGGTAGACCCTAATTATTTTATTAATATGTTTTGGTTATTCGGTAGACTTTTTTTGAATAATCTTGTTACCTAATTATATCCCTTTAGTGACAAAATTAAACCAATACCTACCTACTTAGGAAGTAAAATGACTTCAACTTCTTCAACCACTGTATAAGTTAATAGTTACCTATATATATATATATACAAATACAATAATATAATATGTTATCAAAAACATAGTTCTGAGTTATACTGACTTTTGATTTATGATGATACCTATTGGCTATTAAGGTATATTAATATATTGTGTCAATTATTTAATTAGATAAATTTGTATCTATATTTTTTTAGTGGAGAAATGAATGTATTGACTTTACAATTATGTGTTTTTTTTTGTTTTATCTTTTATAATAGAAAATATGCTTCGATTTTGAACCCTGTAAGTTTTCTGAGATGTCTATAATTTTGTCTCTAATTAGTCTAATTAGTACTTTGGGGGGTTAAACATTTGAAAGTTACTATCAAAGTTTTTATTTTTACTATTATTTAGTAATGAATAAGTTGGTTGAATTAATTTTTGCCTAAAACATTGCATTTGGAAATAACATTGTTTGTTTTAAAAATAATAACACAATATGTTTATGTATTGACACAAGTATAAAAGCCTCAAGTACTCAATAATAATATTTTTAAATTACAACAAAATAGCTAAAATTGTTAGTGAATCTATTCTACATTTAAATATTTGAACTGAAACTGATTATATTTATTTTTTGGTTACAGAATCAACTATATTTATGAGAGAGAGAGATCTTGTTATAAAGTTTCAATTCTTAAAGCCATTCAATTGAAAATGGTAAATCACTAGATCATAATGTCTATGATTATGGCACACAGATTTTTCATCAATATTTCTTCAGCAACGAGCTCTCAGAGCTCTGGTCCCAGAGCTTTTGGTGGCAAACGGGTGAACAGAACTACAGAAAAAGCAATCACTTTTTTAGTAGATGGCGTCTGCGGCTGTACGGTTATCGATCCGCCACAATCGATTGGTCACTCCACTATCATTTTCTCCCACCACTAACCATACCATTGTTTATCAACACAAGTTTGAAATTCGATAACAGGGAACCCGGTAAAAATAAATCAATACGATATTACAATGATGAAATTCTGGGTGTCCGTCGTAAGTCGTTGACGTTTACCGACGATAAATATGTCTGATTGACTGGCTGCTGGCCGTGGACTGAGTATGTCTTGACCACCATCCGTCACTATGTTGCCCGAAGTGGACGGTATTGAACAGTTGTACAGGCGATTTTTCCAGGAAGCCCAAGAACTACCAAAGTGAGTTCTCCAACTAGGGCACAACAATACGTTTTTGCTGTGTGTCTTTTGGTAAATTATCATAGTTATCAATTACCCATTATTTGTCTAGGAAACAACATGCAAAAAAAAATTGTCAGAAAGCTCAAAAAGGATCAAAGCTGTATAAGGTAAGACTATCAATGTTTATCATCTATTGCTATTATTATTATTGTTATTTAGTACTCAATCGTGCAATTATGCTTTGTTTCATTTTTGTAGGATGGAGGGTGGACCATGTACGTATCAGGAAATGCCTCTTCCTTTGCAGTATTATCGGCCGCTCGATATGCTGTGTTTGATAGACATGCTAAAAAATCTGACGAAGCATACTGGAACTCATCATCTGCTCCAATATGTCTCAAAACTCTCAACCGAGTGCTACAATCTTCAAACAATGTTCAGGCTATTCCGTGTTCAGAAATTATCATCCCTAAGGTTAATTAAAGAATATTTTAAGGAATGTATCCTAAAGCTCAATGTTGTTCTTATTTTTAGGTAGTAGGCATAGGCTTACGTAGTGTATTTGAACTGATTAAAGAAAGTAGAGTACCCTCGCCAGACATATGTACTAAAGCTTTAATGGCCTTGTTAGATATCATTCAGTATCAATCTCCAGAAGCATTAAAAGATGAACCATCAGAAGTTATAGGTAAGTTTATACAAATTAAAAAATTTAACTGTAAATTATTTTATATTTCTAATCATTATGTATCACAAATTGTATAGATCCATTATATGAGCTTTTATTGGATATGGCTACTGGAAACTATGATAATGGAACTTATGATTTCAAAGCTGTTTCATGTTCTTGTCTTATAAGTTTAGTAATAGTTAGAGGAGATACTGGTAAAATATTAAACACTCTGACAACATTAATCATGTGCCCAAATAATGCATCCCCTAGAAAAATAATTGTAAGTGGATTTATAATTGTATACATGGACATGTATAATGTATATTCATATATAAAAACAGTAACTTATTATTATGATTTTTTTTAGTTACCAAAAGTTTTAACCAGTTTGCAAAAATGTGTCCGTGTTCTTACACATGGAGATTATGAAACTCCTGATTGGATGTCCAATGGAGTTCCAAAATCATCTGAAATAATAACATTACATTTGAACTTTTTACGCAGTACTTATGAAACTACTTATTAAAATTAAACTATATTTCAGTATTAGTAGAATGCAAAGTTCTGTTTCTAATTTTTTTTTTTCAGATGTCAAAGGAATGGCATGTGATGGAGATTATTTGTATACTTATTCAGAATACGGATTTCATAAAATTGGTACTGGTTTTGGGGGTACAGTTAGTGGACATCCATATGTCAGTGTAGCTCGTACATCAAGTCTTAATTTACATTCTAGTGATGTTTGTCTTGGATTTTATCAAGTTAGTAGAATATGTTAATTTAATTATATTAGTGTACATTTTTTTTAATTTGACCACTGTTTCTAGAAAATGTTATACTTAAGGGTTTATTACTCAAATCAGACTAGCAATCAAGAAATTGAGTTTTTAGATAGAGATACATTTAAAAAATTAGGACGAGTTCAGCTAGATTCTTCAGTAACATTAGATACATCTTGTAAACCTGTATTTAATGATAAAGATAGATTATGTTTCCTTGATCAATCTGCTGTAAGTATTTTACAAGTTTATAATACATAAATACTTTAATATAATTAAACATTTTTCCTCCTAAATAGAACAATTATGTGATTAAGAGTATTGATCCTAGTACTGGGAAACTTGTTAATGAAGTTCCTCTTGTATTAAGCCGTCGTAATGTACGAATATATGGTGTTTCTGAACTATGGGATTCTATTACAGCTGAAAGTGCTATTAATAGTGCTACTGACGAAGAAGTATCTTCTGTTGCCGCATTAAAGGATTGTTTTATTATATCAGTGAAGTCTGGAAAAGTAAGTACAACAAATAATGAATGAGGAGTTAAAATTTATATTTGTTCTTTATTTTTTAAATAATAAATAATTATTTGTTAGGCATTGCAATGGTCAAAATCTAATGGACAAAGTACTATGAATTGTTATCGTTCTATATGGTCAGAGTTAAGTTTACCTAATCCATGTAAAATCATCAAAGTGGCAGCTGGCCATGATGGCTTACACTGTGTGTTGCTTTGCGATACAGGATCAGCTTATTTCTTAGGAGTATCAAGACGCGGTGAAGATTGTGATAATGGAAGATACAGAAAGCAACCAAGAGTACTGAAGCCAAAAAGGATAACTAAAATAGATGGACAGTTTATCGTGGATGTAGCTTGTAATAATGGTACAACAGCATTAGTGACTAAAGATGGTCTTTTGTATATGTTTGGAAAAGATGATACTTATTGTGATATTCATACTGGTAAATATTTATATTTACAATTTGAATATTTTCATTGAATTTTATTATTTACAGGTCTTGTGAAAGATTTAAAAAATGCTAAAATTGTTCAGATAGCTTTAGGAAAAGCACATGCGATTGCTTTGAGTGCTAAAGGGCACATTTATAGTTTTGGAATTAATAACAAAGGTCAATGTGGACGTGATATATGTGCCCCCCAAACAAATAAAAACAGTTAAATATAATTTTTCTTTCTTTTTAAACTTTTGTAATGACATAAATTAATATGTTAATATAGATTATCCCGAAATAACCAATAATGAATCATCAAACCAAATTAGTTCTGTTGTTGAACAGAGTATATTTGAGAATGACTCTGATGATAATAAACCTCGTGAAGATACTTGTAAGCCAGGACAACATAACTGGAAACATGAAGTTTGCATGGTTTGTACTGTATGTGGTGAATGTACAGGATATAGCTATAGTTGTCTTAGTAGTATACGATCCAATCGGAAATCCGGCCAGTAAGTTATTCTTAAAATCAATTATTCTAATAAGTCTAGTCGTCTAGAAATACATTTCTAATTAGTGCTTTTGGTACTTATCATTAATCAATCATCAGTCATTATGAAACTTACTTACATTGTCTTTCATATAATGCAGAATCAGTTTCATATATATTTTATTTTTAAATTGTTTATAGGGAATGCGGTTGTGGTGAAGGAGATGCTGGATGCACTATATGTGGATGCTGTCGTATATGTGCGCGAGAAGTTGAAGATAATTCAGAATTAGCTTTGCTTGGACCAAATGGTGCTGGTGATGTAGCAGGAATGATGCGACTTGATGTCATTTTTGGAATTGGAGGTATAAGAAGTTTAATCATTGTTTTTTGAGTAACAATTATTATTTTTGTCATTAACTTATAATTTTGCTTCAAAGATAAAGCAAAAACACCCCAAGAAGCAAGGCTTGAAGATCATTTAAAAAAGCGATTGAATAAACGTGAACAACGACAAAAATTTAATTCAGTACAAGCAGATTCTACTAGGGAAGCAGATATTGATAGTGGGGTACAAACAGCTAATAATACAAACATTCATTTTCAAACTCATAACAGCGTAATAGCTCGAAGTTTTGCTGGTACGTACTTAAATATATTTTAAATCTTAAATCTTTAGTTTTTCTAAGAACATAATGCAAAATATTCTTATTTTTATTTATACATTTTCAATTTATTAGATGATGCAGTTAACAATCCGGGGAGTGATATAGAAAGGGATACTGCTAGAATGACTATTTTACCGCCTGCCCGAATATTTTTACCAACAGACTGCCCGGTTATTCAAATTAGTTGTGGTTTACATCATACAGGTAATAAAACCTTATGATAAAATGCAATATATTAGTTTAATTCAAAATTGTTTTATGCTTTTAAAGTATTATTACTGAGCAATGGGAAAGTGATAACATTTGGTAGTAATTCCAATGGCCAACTTGGATGTAGCTTATCGCTCAGTAGAAAAGGTCCAACTGTATTAAAAATACCTCGTTTAAAACATCCTATTATTAGCGTGTCAGCTGGTAGCAATCATACTGCATTGGTATCAAAAGATGGTAAACTCTATACCTTTGGAAGTTATTTGGTAAACAATTTATATGACATTCATTTATTTAATATAATGTTTATTATAATACAATTTTTGTAATGTAATACAGAAAAGTCAACTTGGTCGTGATAGTGGATGTAATCATGTACCATTGAGTGTAGAAGACATAAATCCACCTCATACCAGAAGAGCTAGAGTAGTTATGTGTTGTGGTAATCAAACAATTGTAAAAGTTGACGAGGCTTTAATAAATAGTAAAATTTTATCTATTGCTGCCAACAACGATACAATTCGTAAGTATTTTAAAATTTAATGATTTTGATTTAAACACTAACCATTGATTTTATTGCATGCCACTTAATCATTTATTTTTCTTTAACATTTAAATTGTGTGTTCAATAATCAGTGGTGATGACTTCAAATAAATGCTTAGCTATTAACAAACAAGACGGCACTTGTAATAGTTATTCAGGGAATAATCAGATAAAATTTGACGAAAAACATACTGGAATGTGGTGCTTTGATTTGTTATATAATAACTTATGGCAGTAAGACATTTAATATAACTTCTATAATACAGAGTGATTCACTAAGCATGTTCACTCCCATTTTTCCTTTAATAATGAATTTATTTAAATTTTGATTTTTTGAATTATGTAAACTATTTATAATTTTACTTAAAGATCAAAATATTATAATATTTGATAACTCTTGAGATTTTTTGTTCTACCTAAGGAGTGTCTTAAGTTTGGTGATACAAACTTCTGTTTTTCAAATGAACCACCTTTTTTAATGTACATTATTTAGTAGATAATTTGTATTCTTAATTTAAAATTTTAACTTGTAATTTTTTAATTATTAAAATTTTTATACTAAGGATAACCCTTGAAAATGTTTTAAAAAAAATATAAAATATAATTGTTATTGGATCAAGTATTTATTGTTTAGTATTTACTTGGACCATTTTTACTAATTATAAATGTTGATGGATTAATATTAATTACTAACATTAAAAAAAAGCTATAGCCCCGTAACTTTCGAATCCATTATTATGGACCTATTTATATTATCCGTGTACATAAAGCTAATATAACTCCAAAACTACTCTCTCAAGTTTTGATTTTGATATGTTGATATGAATTTTGATATTTTCAAAAAATAGATGCCAAATAGTTTGTAGTTAAAAAGTGAGTTCTTATTTAAAAAAAAAAACAGAAGTTTGTTCCTCCATAAGACATTCTTTTAGTAGCACAGTAGTATATCTTGAGAATTGAAAACATACTCTTTAAGTATGTTCAAAAATTCTAAAAATCAGTTTTTGTACAACTGCATTATTGAATAAAAAAGGGGGTGAGTATGCTTGGCAAATAATCCTGTGTATACTTTAGTTATAAATGGAACACGGATATATAGGTACACACAAATAATTATTAAAATAAGTCATTTAACATTTAGTAAAAATGATGTAAATATGCAACAAATATTAATAATAATAATAAAAAATAATAAAAAAAGTAGGAATAATAAATATTGTATAATATTTATGGGACAAATAAAAACATTTCAACATTTTAAATAATTATATATAAATATTACTAATATAAATACTTTTTATTCTTTATTCTTAAAATTAGTTATTGAATGGCTTTGACACAATGACACCTGTTTGTTAACAAATATAAATTTCTACCAAACCTACATATAATACAATTAACACATTTATTTGTATTATTAAGCAGTTACCTGTATTCGTATGTTGATCCAACTGATTTTCTTTCAAAAATTATGTTTTCCTTTTGTTTACTAAATATTATTTTCTATCTGAAAAAAATTAAATGTTTATTGTTTGTTTACATATTTTAAAACTAAAACTTACCAACTTTTGAAGTCTTTTATTTTAGAAAAATTATAATTTAATACTATTTTTATGGTACAATATTATTTTAGTATAAAAGCTGCACCATTATATTAGCATTTCAGTGTCAATTATAGGTGGTGCAGTTGTAAACAGTTCAGTATATTTTTGTTGCGTAGTATTTAATGGTACTCTTGAGCTCCTTAATATATATTTTATTTTTAATTTATTCGGCTTGCACTCAAAGGTACATAATATACGAAAATGATATATTTAATTTCTCTGAATTATGCAATAAATATGCTAAATACCATTTTGTAATGTCTTAATTAGTGTAACAGATAAAGATTGGTTGCAAACATTTTAAATATGAAAATAAAAATAAAAGTTCCATACAGATCCGTGATCTAGTTATAAGCTTGAGATATCAATAATTATCTATTCAATATTTATTTGTTTTATTTATTTATTTCAGTATTAGTGATATTAGTGAAAAAGTTGTGGTTACATGCTACAATGTGAATAGTGGTTGTAGGAGACATAATGATACAGGTTCCTTGTTGAATTATGAATTAGCATTGCCACCCACTGCTGGGATTTCAGTATCTCGAATTCAAGCTTTAGTTAATTTACTAACTTGTATGGACATTTTAGCCCAAAATTCATCATTGTTTCCTATTGGCATAGCATCGTCTCATAGTAATATACCAGTTGCATCAAACACGGTTGAGCCAAAAAAAGAATTTTTACACATCAACAGATTTGCAAGTATGTATAATAATTACTAATTTGATTTAAAATATTATTATTAACCTTTAAAATAATATACATTTTTAGGTTTAGGTGGTGGTTGGGGGTATTCTGGACACTCAGTTGAGGCTATTCGGTTCTCAGTTGATTGTAACATTGCATTAGTTGGTTTTGGTTTATTTGGAGGAAGAGGAGAGTACACAGTTAAACTTAAGGTAATACAAATTCATTAATAATTGCTATAAGTAATAAAATAATGAGAGCATAATAAATTTAATATTTGTATAAAAGAAAAACAAATTTGTTACGTAACTAAAATTTTTATAATTGGATTTTATTACTTAAATGTTTCAATATACTCAATATCGATTTTTCACTCATTAACATAAGATTATTTCATTAAGTCAAATATATTTTTCATCATATAATTCAAATAATGTAAAAATATCTTATATTTATAATTTACCCTGCAAATAATACTTTGTGAAAAATAAAAATTTTCACTCTAATACGAGTTTTATAATTTTTTATAGATTTATGACATCGGTGTGGAAGGTGGTGAGCGAGAAACTGACGGTGAACTATTAGCAGAAACTGATGAACTTACTTATGAATGTGCTCCTAGACAAAAAAATCCAGTCTTACTTGATGACCCTATTGCTCTTTTTGTAATATTAATCAACTTGAATAATAATAACAATAATAACATTACTTTGTAATTGTACTTTTGTATTTATTCAGGCAAATCGATGGTATGTGGCATGTGCTAGAATAACTGGTCCATCAAGTGATTGTGGTTCTAGTGGAATGTGTAGTGTTACGAGTGATGAACAGTAATTTAGTATAAATAATCTTTAATATTCATTGTTATAGTAATTTGTAATTTTATTTATTAGAATTACATTTACATTTAAATCATCTCGGAGATCAAATAATGGTACAGACATAAATGCTGGACAGATTCCTGAAATATTATATAGAACTGTTATTCCTGATTCACTATCAATATCAACTATACATACGTCAAATAGTGATATTCATATATTAAGTGATGCTTTTTCACACTCAGTTAATAAGGTATTGAATTAAAATTGATTTTGAGTAATAAATGCTTGTTTTAGATCTTTATTAGTTATTATTATTTATTAGCTCTTACATTATTTTGTTTGCTTTGTGGTTTACTGTTGTTTTGTATTATACTGTTTTAATGTAAAAGTTTGTGTGTATTTTATAATATATTTTGTGTTTTTATCATTTTAAAAATAACTGTGTTGTGGTGTTAATTATTGACAAGACAATAAAAAAAAAATGTTATCATATCATAAAATGCTAGTAAAAATATTTTATGAAATTTTTAAGTAACTGGAAACTGTTTTTGACAAAAACAAAATGATATTTTGAAAAAAACTGTTGTTGCTTAAATATTGTTGTTTTCACGACTATTAAAACAAGTGTTGGATGTTTTCTATATGTTACTTTCCAAAGAACCAACTAGTTTAGAATTTGATACCAGAACCCATGCTCAATGTTCTAGTTTGAAGCAAATGTGATGAAAACAAAAAAAAATAACATCAAGTCATTGTAAAGCATTGTATGTTCTTCAAGATCTAAAATTAAAAATGCCACTGCATAATAGTTTTGTATAGGTATCTAGGTATTATTTATCTACCTATTTGTTTTTAAAAAATATCCCATTCATCTCCAAATATAGTACACTATGCAACCACCATCAATTTGCACTAGATATTAAATAAGCATTCAAAAGTAAAAATTATTTAAAAATATAAATTTCATTTAATTGCATTTAATATGCAAAATGTAAATATAAAAGCAGTAATAAATTGTAAAACTTACTTAAAACTCTATTTTATAAATACATATTTATATTCATAAAAATAAAATGTCCAATTATCATAATAAATGAAGTAGGTATTGAATAGTTCATAGGCATTATACTGCTTACCATGAAATAATTTTGGTTACAAATGTTGGTACTTGAGCCCATGTAGATTCCTACTACTGGGCCTTATTCAATAAACAGAGACAAATTTTTAATTTCAAAGTTAAAAATTATTCAATAAATGAGTAATAGCCCTCCAGAATAATTAAAAATAAGCATTGTGCAGCGGCCATTGTCTCGGCGGATAGTGGATACTCATATCATAATATGTAGTATCTCAAGTATCTGCGATATCTTAACTTGTAATTAAGAGTATATTAGCCTTTAATTTTTCCTTGGCTTTATCTCGGTAGTTGCCTACCATGTTTGTTGAACAATAAGTTGAAATAGGTAATCAGAATGAGCATATTTTCATGGTAAAATAATACCTATACATTTTTGAATCAATCACTTAGATCTCACTATTCTCGCCTGTAAAAGTTTTACGACGTTCGTTCCTCATACATTACTGAAACGGACTTTCGTATTTTTGACCATCCCACATGTATCGTACAAGGGTTGTAGCTACTAGAGGGTAGGAGTTTAATCCCCTTATATTTTTTAACAACTGTGAACTGGCATTAGGTATAAACAAATGTTGAAGTTTTGGAAGTTTCCCAAGTGTGTCCCGAAATTACCCTTGATGTTGATAGTGTCCCATAAAAACAATATCATATTTTTGACGTAGCTTGAATGAGTACCAGTTCATTCAAGTTATTCAGGGTGCATCACGAAGTGGTTATTATTATTTATTTTATTATTTTGGCTTACTCATTTTGAATTTGGACGAGTGTGCTAATTTTTTGTAATATACTTTTTTTAGTAACTATAATTCAACTAAAAATGTGGAAAATTAAAAATATTTGTAAGAACTGGTCTATTATGGCACTAGGTACTTTGCGCATCAGTTCATTGCTCACATTTATTGATCTAAATGAGTCGTAGTCCAGTATATGTGCTCTGGTAGGTTATCGAAGTTAAAATGAAAAGCGATTTACCCATCACCATTGCCACAGTCATCGTTAAACAAATGTTGTATATAATTGTATTAGTCAATCTTCGGTTCTGTTAAATGTTTTGGCAGACCGACGAACGCCCTCGGACTTTGGAAAGAGGAAAAATTAAATTAGACGCACTCAAGATATTCCCGAAGTTTTAACCATAATTTAAAATAACCAAATGATCAGCAGTCATTAGTATCATTGTATAATATAATATTATGTAGTCTTTGTATACATTATAAATTTATAGTTATGGTTAATATTTATCTTTATTGTGTGGATAATACTTGTCTGTTTCGTCAATCAATCGTTTATGTTTGTTTAATTTTATTCATTAAAATCATTGTTAATTAGAATAGTTACAATAGATTTGTTCTGCTTAATTATTAGGTTCCTATGATAGTGATCATACCTGAGAAAATTAGACAGACCTCTTTCGTGAATACATTTATCATAATTTCTAAAAACAATATATGTAGTATATATATATATATTTTTTTATTACCTCCCTTATTACAATTATTTACCCCCTCCCCCCTCTGCCAAACATATACAATTTATTTAGACGCTACTGTATACTGTATACCGTATGTATCGCACGTTTTTCCGGGCGTTTATATCGACGACGCTTCGTTAAAAATCGATTACTAAGGACCTAATAGACATGCCTATAATATGGAGTACATCTTTTCTGGTCAAGGATTTATTGGAGTTTTTGTCGTTTTTTCTCTTTAATTACCTGTTAATTTAAGTGCATGTCCTAACCTACCAGATACCAAATGGCAAATACAATCTGTTACGCCGTCACACGTGTCTGTTTCACTCCATTGGAAAAAACGGACGAGCAAAATTTGATGAACATTTTGATTGCTTATATGCAGCGCCATATTATATTTTCAAAAGTTATAACATTTAATGTTTTATAATATATACATCTAAATAAGTAACACAATTGAAAGTAATTCAAAAATCTTTTCTCTCAAATGGGTTTCCGAGCAAAATTTATTATAAATAAAAATACTTGTAACATTTGTTTGCTTTTATCGTTGTGTTGACTTAAATGTAGCTTGATGTATTTTTGATATGTTTTGTAGATTGTGTGATTGGTGTGTAAATTGTATTTGATTTTTAGTTCTACGATATAAATGTTATTGTACCTATGTTAAATGTAATTTATTAATGTGGTGTTGCATAACAGATCGGCAATTTTAAACATACAAATTAGGTACATATACATTATCTACAGTATTCGTCTTGACTGTTAATTATTGTTCTCTAGGAAAGTTTTAATGCTTTAATTACGTTACTTCGATGGTCATGGACAACAATCAATAAAAATATATCAGATATGTGTCTTCCGTATTCGCAGAAAAACTTTTACATGGATTTATCAAAAAAAGACACATCATCAATTTGTGAACTCAAACGACTGATGTTTATAAGCAAATCGTGTTTCCATTTACTTCGTTCTTATATTCACGAAATATATCCAGATCAAGGTGCTGATGATTAATTTACAACAGTTGTAGTGTAAAAAAGTAATCAATGAGTCTATTTTACATTTATTTGGTTATTTCAGTTGACAAAATTAAGCTACCCGAAACTGAAGCTCTGGCCAGTTGCGTCGTTGAAGTTCGACAACTTTTGCAAAAAATATTATCAGATATTCGCCCACACGAAGTCTTAAAAAATGTTGATAGGATATTCATTGACAATAAAGGTAATGTAATTTGCACAACCTAGTTTTAGATTTCTATCTTTATTTTCGGAAAGCGTATGGAGTCGTTGAAAGTGTGAGGATGCAAATTGATAATTGGTATCATATTAATAATTCCTCTTGAAACAGAAGTTAATTAATAAAAGAATAGAAAGATGATATTTCATATTTCATTTTATTAGGTTCTTCTCATTAATATGGTTAATTATGTTTAGAAGTTAAAAGATTCAATGTCACTTCTACATCGTTTCAAAAACATGACGTAGGTAATTTATCCTTATCAAAATAAGTGAACAGGAAAAGTTAATTAAACGTAAAGAATGAGATACTAAAATTAAATGAATAGAAATTATATTATAATGATGTTATAAGCAATGTAGCCAAGTGATGAAAAAAATCAACTTCCAAATTAATAACAAAGAATCAGATAATATTGCCATAAATCAACTAAAAATGACAGCATTTAAATTGTATTTGTTAATAATGTAAAAATAGATTGAATTGGTTTTTTTTGTAAGTACATACAAGTAGATAATTTATAATTTATAAATGTTAAAAAGAAGTAATAAACGGTTGATAATACTTTGTTTAATGTTTATCTTTATACATTGATTTAATTTTAAACTAATATTAATATAATTTATGATTAATTTAAATCCAAAAGAAACGTTGTTTAAATTTTTATACACATACAAAATGTGAAAAGGTATTCATAGCTGCTTATTGAGTAGGACATTTTATTTAGTGGTGTAACGAATAAATATAGTAGGTACCTGGTACCTATAATGTAATCGGCTGCAGGGCTTGTTTATGCAAATTATTGCACAGTTATAAATTGTATTATTATAACTAATAAGTTATTCGATCGTTCATTAATTATTTAATAACTTATATAACAAAGTTCAATATATTATATTATACATATATTATGCAACTAAACAAGTCTACTCAATTTGAAATTTAAGTTAGGATAGGTTTAAAACCAATTTTGTAAGAAAAAATAATGAATTATAAAAATCAGAATTTTGCTCTGCTGTATGGTATGACTATTGATTATAGAGTGGACCTCGTCATTAAGTAGGTGTAACCGTGTAACTACTGTATTTAACACTGTAACTATTACAATATGTACATTTTATTTCAATGATATATGCGACGAAAAAAGATTCCGAGAAGGAACGGTCACAAATAATGTTTAAATTGCAACAAAATATCTAAAATCTAAAATATCCGTATAAATATCCAATTTTGTCAAAATCTGAATTTGAAATGTCTATAAAAAAATGGTGCATTTGTATTTTATGAATTTAATATCGTTGTATTCAATTTTCAATTCTTAACAATTTTATACATTTTTAATAAAAAAATATTTTGTTGATTTTTGAGATCTGTAGATTTAGTAAATATTTTAAATTTAAACTTAAACAAGTGGACAAGTAAGTAGGTACCGCCCTGCTGTATAGTACTTGTCGAGTTGTTCATTGTTATTGTTATATTATTTAAATTCAATGATAAACTATTCAATACGAAAAACAATTCTGAGCGAAGGTTTTTTTCCATCTTAAATAATTATTGTATAAATAATAAAAATAAAAATTAAAAAAAAATTAATGAAAATCAAAAATATCTCATAGTACCTAAACTCCGTAACTTTTTGCTAGACTTTTTTGTTGTTGTTAAAAGTAGAAAAATGAGTGTGGAATCTTCTATTACGATTTCTAAGAGAAAAGCTTTTATGAATTTTTAATAGAAATATTATTTATGAAATTTGAAAATTTCTTATGCCTATAAATAGCTCAAAAAGAGTCAAAATAGTTTGAACATATTACCATGTATGGAAAAACTAGGATAAATATTTGGTGAAATTGTCAAGTGTATGGTTATTACTTATTAATTTTTTAGTTATACCAAAATAATTATATCGATTTTTTCGAAAATTGTTTTTGCTTAAAAGTTTTTTTTTCCCTAAATTTTTTTTTTGTTTTCCCTGTCGCTTTCGAAAACTACTGGAAATTGTATAAATTCCCGAATGCACCAACTAGATTCACGTTTACATTAGAAAAAATATTGATGTCGAACACCGGAGAATTTTCACTACCTACCCCAAATGTTGATGAAAGAAAAAAAATACATCATTGTTAATAAAATACGTTCACCCCTAAGTTCATAATCAACAAATTTAATATTTAAAAACATATAGTTTTCGGACCACTGTTTTTTTAAAAATTGTAGCGGTTCCTACTTGTTGAGTGTCAAGATGAATTGGAAGGGTAGTACCTAGTATATTTAGTACACACTCTGTACACATAGACATTGTTGTGGCAAAGTCCCTTAAATATTTTATTTAATTGCCAATCGTTTGGTTATGATGGATAGCTCATGCTGATACGTGATGCATTACGGCTATGTCATTATAAACCATAATAATTTATAAACCAAGTATCTTAGTCGTATAATGTAGATGGTTATTCAACTTAATTAAATGCTATTACATAATACTATGGAAATTTTATTATTTTTTTGGATACAATTTTTTATATACCTAGTTAACAGATGACACAGGGTTATCTAACCAAGTAACTGTAGATACATGAAAAAAGTAGCTGACAAAGGAATTTTAAGATTTTTTTTGTTAATTTATAATTAATCTTGTATTAAAATGTCAAACAGAAATGACCTTTATAAAGTGTTTACCATCTGTGTTTTCCAATCAATAAAAGGGTTATTTAAAACTTTTTAAGTACCTACTTCTACTACCTCTACTCTTACTACAAAAATTATTTAACGAAAAAGCAAATAATTGTAATTTAATAATCCTTTAGCTATGGCTCAGAATTTAAAAATACAATTTACAGAACATTATAATTACTTAATTATTTTTAAAATTATATTTTGACAGGTAGTGAAGTAGTCAAAATTATGAAGTGTATTAAATGGTTAAATCAAATATTGAATGAATGTCATATGACATTTGTGTCATGTTACCATGCGTTTTACCCAACACCTCATTTGAAACTATACTCCTTATGGGAACTATTGATGGACAAAAAAAATGTAAGATATTTCTAATCAGTCTTAAATATGCAATATTGTATTAATTTTGTTATAACTTTGTTAGACTGATCATAAGAATAAGCTACTCACTGCGGTTGTGGCTGCATTGTGTAACACTACATATAGACTTCGTGAACTTATGCCAATATTGAAATCAACAAAACTTAATGATAAATCTGGATCATCAGATCAGGATCACCAATATTATTATCCATTATTGGTCAACGCTACTACATCAGCGGCCCATAACACTTTAAAAAGTGAACCAAATTGGGAAATATTACTCACACATCTTTTAGACATAATAGGATTACCAGTGCGAAATGTGATACTGAATAGCAAAAAACCCGATAACGATTTGAAATCACTTTCTACTAATTGCTCCCATCTTGTCGCGAGGGTTGTAGCTGAACTATCATCACAAGCTACTTTATCTGAAGTAATAAAAAGGACTTACCTAGTTGTTAAATTATAAGCACTACATTTTTATTTTTTCTTAGGATGGAACAGAGATAGTTAATGAAAGAGAAATTTTGCTGACTACGCCTTCTAGATTTGCTAAAATCAATCAAACAAAAACATGGAATGCTGGTAATGGTTCTCCAGATGCTATTTGCTTCTGGGTAGATCGTGCTGGTATTGCTATTGCAGGTTGTGGTGTGTTTGCTGGGATTGGAAATTACGAGTATGAACTTGAACTTCTGGCAGAGGTTATAAATAATTTACTTGAAAAATATTTTTTTTATTTTGTGATTAGAAAAATATATACTTATTAATATAATTTTTATAGAAGAAACAGTTGGAATTTGATGAACCTCATGGTAATCGATGGAAGAGTTTAATAGTAACTAGAGGGTCTTTTGGGCCAGATGATAGTGCAATGAACTACGTTGCTGATCTAAAATTTGATCACCCAATACGAATTAAGGTAAAAAAGAAAATGTAATATTTGCAACAATGAAATGCACATATTTATGTATTGGTTTATTTACAATTATTAGGAAAGAGTTAAGTATGCAATCCGTCTAAGAAACTATGGTGGCCGAACAAATAACGGTGACATGGGGTTAAGTTGTGTAAAAGGACACGACAATACACTTTTTTCATTTAATACATGCTCATTAAGCTTAAATGGAACCACCCAATCTCGTGGTCAAATACCCTATATACTTTACTATAGGTAACGTGAATATGATGTCAATAATTTTAAATTGAATTCTAATTTTAAATTACCTTTTGCTAGTAACAGCCATGATAAGAATTGCGATTTTGAACGTAAAGTGTGTAATAAACTCAAAGCTCGGGAGAGTACATTATCATTGTTGAAAACAGTTGTGGAAAAGTCAATGGAGTTGATAAATATGAGCGTTGAAAAATTAAAAAAAGATCCACTTGTGTATAAATATTTAGGGGAATCGGCTATTGTGAATGTATTGCTTCCGTTAGTATTGGCGCATATTGGCCCGCTGACATCTTTTTCCAAAGATGCTAAGGTATAGTAATATTAATTATAATAATTTTTAATAATTATTTATGTGGTACAATATTAAAATCTGTGGAGTAATATTAAATAACGTTATTTGCACGCATTATCCATTTTCAGAGCGCTATTCATGTGTTAGAGCTCATAAACAAGTTGCTACCGGCAGTGACTTCCATTAATTTGTACTCCGCTAACAAATTAGACGTAATGCATAAAGACCTAAGTGATAAATTGGATGGGTCAAAACAGTTGGGAAAGTTCAAATCCTCCAAAACTGAAATCAGAGACTCCAAATGCACAACAACGTCCCATCATTATGCGTGGGTTGAAAGCGATCATCCATATACAGCTGCGACCGTGTCTAATTACAAGTAATTTATTTATTATCATTGTTGTCATTTAGTTATTATTTAATGTTAAATTCATCTTAATTGACTTTGGTGTGTTTTTTGTTGTTGTTAGAGTTAAATTCCCAAAAGAAGTCAAATGGTTGTGTCTTGAGTTTGACCCACGAAGTTGTACTGCACAGACTGAAGATTCATTGCAACTTTACATACCAAATTATCGAGATTATAGCGATGATGATAACAAACACGTAGTGACTACTCCCTACATACCGGTTTTGAAAAAATTTAGTAATGATCCAATGGAGTGGCCGTTTGCAGCTGTTATGTTGCCTGGTATTTATTCGATTTAGATTTAAAATTTTTGAGAAGACATTTTATTTTATCAACATTTTAATGCATAGGTAACGAAGTCATGTTTTCACTGGAAACTGCGTCAGATTATCTTAAGAACGATAGGATTTCTCGATACGGCTTTCGTTGTTTAGTAATTGGGTATGAAGTAGAAGAGTTAAGCAAATATCAAGCTCTTGGCTATGGTCTCGTTCATTTAGAAACCGAACTTTCGTTCCTCGGAGGGATGTGCGTCTCAACCCTCTTAAAATGCGATATAATTTTACCTAACGGTAATTATAATATATCCTTATCGATAAGCTTGAACTTTTTTAAAAAAATCTACCAAATTGTATTTGTAGACGATTCTACGCGCGGCTTGGAACAAGGTTCAGTATCAGCTGCTGATCAGGTGTATGCTAAGCACTCGGGGTTATTGAAAAAAGGATTTGCTTTGGCGCCATTCGTTAACATTCAGCAAGTCATGGACGGTGTTTTGCCATTGAGGTGAGTGATTAGAATATTATATTACATTAGTACTGCATGCACGTGGACTATATGCGTTATTCCATTGGCGAATGAAATTTCCGCCTAATTTATCATCATAAATACTCTTACTCGAGAATCGAATAGATAATAAGATAACGAGAATACCCGGAGACCAGTGTTTTTGTTGCAAGCTCAGTGTTTTGTTATAGCTTTAAGTTGAAATAGGAATGGAAACTAAAGTAATTTTGAAGTACTACGTACTTAAATATTCAAATAAAGTTGATTTAATACGACTTCATATAACATCTGGACATGTAATTAATTAAAACAAAATAATTTAAAGTATATCATCATTATTTTTTCTTAAGACAATTATTCGACTAGTGTTAGAAAAACTATAGTTATTGTTCTTTGCAATACTTAAAATGAGTACAGTATGCATTACTCTTCGGAAGTATTATTTTTAAAACCTGATATAGGTAGCTAAAGTAAAATATATAACAGTAATGAGTGGATGGTACAGACGGATAAGCAGTAACTAAAACGTAAATTTAAATAGTATTAAAAAAACTTATTTTATCTATAAATAATCCTATTATTTTTTTCAATACCAAATAAGTAATAACATTTATCTGCTCTGTGACTATATAGAAAATTCTTTAAAATATAATCCTACATTACTGGTATACGATCAAATTGAATTAAAAATATATATTGTAATTTTATTCACTTTTTTAATTTATTCTCTTTTCCTTTGTATTTTCATAATTTCCATAACTATTTTGATACAAATTATTTATGAATATTCATTTGTTTTCAAACAAAAAAATGTCCTGCATTTTGGTCTTGTATATTGTTTTGATATATTGAGATTTGTTTTAATATATTAGATTAACAACAATAATAACTAAGAAGTATATCATTTTAGATACATCTTGTCACTAAATTAGTAAAAGTAATGAGTAATGTTAATAATAATGTTATTAATTTTCGAATGTAGCATAGCAGTTAAATATACTAAATAAAATTGATCTATACGACTATAGGGATTTTAAATTTTGGTTAATTATTTTTTCATAACTCTTTTTGATGATAGAATTTTTAGGATTGTTATCTTTATTTCCTATTTTATTCTAAAATTATTTTTATCGTAAATTTAATAATATAATAGAGCCCATTAAACATTTTCCCTCCCCTTTACTACAAATATATGCTTTAAATTATTAACATAAAATATTCTAAATAATTTTGCCATTTATGAGTTTATTATACCGTGGAATGTCTGCAGGTTGTTCTCAGTATTAAAGACATGATATTATAGAGTAAGATAATATTACAAATTAAATGGCGATTTGTATATTATCTCCTTGATACCTCAGAATAATGTAGAATAATTTTTTTGATGGTTATCTAATGTAGACAATTACTTATTAACGAAGTACATGTGTTAACTGAAAGAACGAATTTCCGCAATTCCATGTTTCTCGGTTATTTCTTGAAGTTTTGTGATACAGTGATTATTAAAAACTTGACAAGGCACAATGGGATAAATGAACTACTAAAATAAAATCTGTATACGTATGTACGTTTAATATTATTATAAAATGAAAACATTAGATATTTATTGTTCAGAAGCAAATTTTTAACTCAATAAAACACAATCGGTTTATTTGTTTACTGGCGACTGATGGAGATAATATATTTATAGTTATAGTATAATTTTATATGTAACATTATTGCAGTCAGTCGTTTACCTACAAAACATGATCACAAATAAAATACAAAATACTGATCATATAGAAACTGATGTCTTAGGCCAAATTTGTTCATTTGTACATAATATATTATTATTATATAATACAGAAAAATCAGAATAGGTTACAAAAATCAAAAATCATAAATATAAATAAAAACCGCTTAGGAATCGGGAATAAAAACCCCGTTACAAATCACTGGTCAACGGTTGTGTTGCTCTTTGATGTTGATAATTAGTCGTAGACCTGTACTGACTGTCCGTCGAACCCGTGCGCTCCACGATCACATGCAACTCCGTTTCTCTGTAAGTCTTTCCCTCGGGCATGACCATGACATGCCTGCGCTTGTCGCTTCCACCGCCTCCACCGCCGTTCTTCAGTATCGAACGGTTCTTGAGCGGCGACGACGACGGCACGTTAGTCCACTGGCCCCGTTTGCGCTTCTTGTACCAGGCCCAACCGACAAGCGCTGCCGTTAGCGTGGACACGGCCATCACGGCCACGAAAGTCAGGTAATAACGGCTCATCAGGCCGCCGCCGCGTCCACCGCCCGCCAGGCAATGCGCCTCGTCGTACTGCTGCGCTTTGATCAGCTGACCGAAGTTGCCGACGCCGTCGTCGTCCGGTGTCGCGCACCACGCTGTCTGCTCGACCACCCAACTGGGACGGTCGGTATTCCGCGGATAGTCCGTGGAGAATGCCACCAGGTCGGTGCGCCACCGGGCCGGGCACCCGCACGCCCGTCCCACGATCAACCAGTCCATGCGTGGCCTGAATCCGTTAGTGTCGAATACCAGCGCGTCGTCCTCGAACTCGGCCACCGTATTATTCTCAAACACGAATTCCTGATAATCGGCCTCAGCCACCTTGTGCGCGTCCACCGTGACCCCGGCGAATGCGCCGCGCTCCAGTCGACCGAACGCGTTGTCTTCTACGAACGCGGGCCCGCGGCACTTGACCTCGAACGCACCGCTCCTCACGCAATCCGCCCGGCTGTTCTGCACCCGGAACACCTTGGGCCCGTGCACGCGGAACGCATAGCTCTGGACCACCGAGAACGTCACGTCGTCCAGGCGGAGCTCGTCGTGCACCGTGATCTCGGTGAGCATGCGGCTGGGTGCCGCGCCCTCGAACTGGCACCCCTTTAACACGAACTCGTTGACGGCGAACTTTTTGAACGCCTGTTGGTCGACTTGCCCGAATACTGTGTCCCTGAACTCGATCCGGCCCGTCGTCCCGGTCAGGCTGCTGAACGCGAACGGCCGGATCACGTCGATCCGGACTCGGTTGAACGTGACCGACCGTAGTCGGCCGCGGAACGCGTAGCTGGGCACCTCCGGCACTGATGTTACGTTCGTTATGGTCACCGCAAGGCCCTGGTGGTGATGGTGCTGTAGCTGTGGCGGCTGTCCCGGGCCACCGACACCGTTTTCCGACCAACCGAACGCCTCGTCAGCCATTTCGAGCCGGCGTACCGAATCGATTTCCACGGTCCACAGTGGCCTTGCCCCGTCGAACGCCATGGCCATCACTTTGACCCGATCGCATTGCGTCACGATCACATTGGCGGCCACTCGTGGCACGTGTCCCGGTCCTTGAGCTTTCAACACGAGATCCTGAAACATTAAAATTAAACAGATAGTTATTACTCATAATATACTCATTGTGGATATAGTGATAATACTGAAAAAATTCTCGTTTAAAATCTGTTTGCTTTTTATCTATGGTAAAACGCTTGTTTATAGTGAGCAGAGGTCTTGTCCGTGTGTATATTTAATAATATGTTGGTACGAGTTTGCATGGGTTGCGGAGATGTTATTTTGTTCTACACGAAAATCGGTAATAAATTATAGTTTATCCGGTGCAGTATAGTGGTGGTGCGGCTAGTACGACGACGGCGGTCAAGAAAAACAATGGTACACGCGCGACCGATAGGATTAAATGGCCGTCCCGGACCCCAACGATCCCTTTGTCGATTTCGGAGGTCTGCATTTCGCGTACAAAATGTGTGTTTGTGTGTGTACAGAGTTCTTGATGTTTCGGATTAGGTGGTGGCTTTTGCGGGGAAACGTTGCTGCAAAACTTTAGTACAACGAAAACACGTCGGCTAAGTGCCTTCTCGGTTGCTGGAGCGCTCGCCTTGACCACTACGGGGTGAAGGGTATAGCCAGAGGATAATTCCTCGAGTTTTATTTTCCAGGGGTCGGTGGGTGTATGATGCATGTAGTCGCAATACACGATCGCCTCAGTGACGGTAGAATTCCCAGTTTGCGGCTCCCTAATCGTACGTTTACATTTTTTTTCATATACTGTAAACACCGCTGTATATAGGTACAAATTAAACTGAACACGCGGTTGTTATCTCACCTCGGGAATTGTGGATTCCCCTCCCCACTTGCCATTCCACCAACGGCCTCCACCATCACTCGCACCCCACGAACCACGACTAATAATTAATGTCAGTTTATTTAACGGTGTAGGGCCCTCTCCACGCCGCCACTGTCGCCACAACGCTATTTCGCGAGCTTTGGTACATTTTTTTTTCCTCCCGGTCCGGGAAATACTTCGACAGCGTTCGCTAACGATGACATATGTGTACCCGGCTGAAAATAGATGTTGGGCTTTACATCATTGAGGATTTTAAAAGTGACCCGAATGCGCTCTTATTTTGTTCACGTCCCGGGCTTTTGTCCCAATCGATCTTCCCCTACTCCGGAACCCCGTTCCCCTCTTTGTATACTTGGTTTTTTCTTTGGGTCTTCTCATTAATTAATCGCCATCGGATAATCGTGTCTCGACTTATTTCTTTAGGAAAAAAAATTGTTGAACCAAAAACCTGTCATTAAAAGAAGCAATGAGAAGCACCGCGTGTATTTTTTCATTTTTTGTATAAATAACATTTCTCCCCCTCATTCATAATGTTATTATTAATGTAACAAAATCTAGGTAAAAGAAATCTTTTTTAAAAACAGCTGGTCGAGGGTAAAAAATTTGTGAGGTGACACTTTTTTTTTATTTATATAAAAGGTTATACCGGCTTACAAAACACGCGAAAAAGTAATTTGTGTAGCGTTACGTTGAAATTATCATCAACTATGCGTTACGATACGCCCAACTCTAAAAGAACGGTGCGACGAGGGATGGAAGGGCCTGAGTTAAATATATTTAAATGGAAATTTCTAAAATATCACGAGGAAAGGAAAAAACATATCGTATAAAAAAACCACACCTGTTCCAAGGGGGGTCTAAAAGTTTTTTTTTTGGCTAAGTTTTCCATCATATCGTTTACACCGCGCGGTCGTATACTAGTATAAAATGTATGGAAGGAACGCTAGTCAGCCATATTATACTCATATAAACCATTTCCCTTCGCATATGTGTCTGTATTTTTTTGTGGCGGAATTGACGTGGATTTACCTGCGATTCATGAGGCACTTTGCGGCACGAGCACCGAACTTGCGACTGGGAGTCATCGCATTCGCACTGCGGTATGTCGCACAGACTTTGAGCACTGGCCACCTGGCCACTGATTACCAGCACAGCCGCGACCAGTGCAGTCCACTGATGCAACTGCGTCATCGTCCGCCGTAGTCCGACCGTTCTCGCTGGTCATCGCCACTTGTCCATTTCAGGCCTGCCGCGTCGCCGCCGTAAACGCGTCCGTCGACCATTCACTGCAGTACTGAAAACAATGCACAATCGACACGTTAATATTATACACACGAATGATATTATTTGCTTTTCGCCCACTTATTCATTATATCTGTATTTCGACTTAGTGCATTGCACACAGATGAGGTGTCACGTATATAATGATAATGACTTTAGCTAGAGATAACGAAAGAAAACATTCACTCGAACCCAACCGCGCGAACACGTAATATTTTATGACTATTATTATGCGTCAGTATTGTAGCACCTAAAATGAATACCATTGAAATTAATCTTTATAACTAAGTTTTTTTCTCACATTTGTTTATGTAAGAATAAATAATATTATACTAATTGAATTCCGGTCGTAAGACTGGGGAGGAATAAATAAAAAAAAAAACTTTAAACACAGAATTCGAGTATATTTTTCCGAGAGATTTAATGGCGCAAATGGTGGGAATTCGGGTGTAATAATAAGAATTAAACATTACTAAGACAGGGAATAAATACGCCCTCAGGACTAGGGAGGTAGCCGAATTACATCTTAGCCGTAATGACAAAGTGTTTGCACGTTTGAAAAACGAGCTCCCTAGCCAGTGATGGACGTTCCCTTTTCCCCTAAAAGCGCTGTAGATGTGTCAAAATAGTCTCGTAAAATATTATACGCATATGAACTTTTAAGTACCACTTTGGTACATGGTTTTGTACTATACATAGATAGTCACTTATTTCCCACTTTGTCGCGGCGTCCACCCATGAATTAGTCACATAAGTCACTGGTCTTGTGTATATTTTACCTGTGTACAGTAAATGATCTCTTTCCCCCTCTCAGAATCGATTATTCTAAAGAAACACTTAGATATTAAACAAATAATTTATAATAACTTATTGACTCTGTTATTGAGCGTTTCAGTATGGAATAAAATAAAATAAACATTCAAGTACACGCGAAAAAATACATAATGTTCCTAATTAACAATTCTCTTTTGCACCGTTGTCATCATGTGTTCCCATGAGCATCCTTCCGGTGGAGCAAACATACTCGAATGTCCTTTGACAACGAACCCTTGACCCAAATAAATTGTATTCCTATACAATGAGGGTAACAAAAAAAAAAAATCATAATTCCGGTTTGCAACGTTTACCCAAACTCCCATAATAAACGTGCCGATTTCTAGTACAATGCGACGGTGACGAGGGTTAGGACTGATCGTTAAAACATTCTTCGACACTTTATGGGCCACAGGAGGCGCTTTACCGTGGCGATTCCTGGCCGATTAAACGTTCCTAGGGTTTAAGTCGTAAAAAAACAGAAATAAAAAAAAAATGGATTAAGTCACGTTTTCTGCCTATCCCTAATAAAAACCCCTCTGAATAATTGCGGTATTAACCGTATCAAATATAAATAAAACATTCGTACGCCGAGATTTATTTATCGAATTTGCCTGGGTCTTGTATTATTATTGTAGGTACCTATTATTATGTTTTGTGTGTGCGTGATTTTTTTTTTATCTTAAAATATCTATGGTACCATAATATTATTATGTACTTATTAAAACGTTGGCTTATACACACAGCCCGAATGTCTGTAAACAACCCGGTGTAAAGTTAACCATATATTAATAATTTCTGAGACGCCGTAGAAAGTTTCTTTCCTGGCGGAAAATATTAAGAACGAAGCACATTTATTATAACTTATAATTAGCCATTTGTCTATCCCCGGACACGCCGTAGACGGGAATACATTATTATTATCTACCTACCTACTTCTCAGATAACTTTTTAAACTTTTTTTTAGACGCACGTCCGTATAACCAACCGCTCTGTCCAACCACAACTTGACAAAGCGTTGTACAGCGAATAATTTTTAATGCTTTCAAACACGTGTTGGGAGGTGTAATATTGTAAATAAGCACGTTTTTAATTTTTGATTATTATAATGCTATTATTTACAGTACACGCCTACTGCGTATAATAGTTTTGTCGAGCGTACCTCTAGCTGTGGCTATGTCTAAACCGATGCCGTTGGTATGTACTGCGAAAATGACGATGGTAAAAAATCTGAAAGAGATGATAGATGCGTATCAATTTTTTTTTGTAAATATAAACATTCACGACATAAGTCAAGAATTCAGCCATGGCCGCTGTTCTGAAAAAATATTCGTTTATATAATGCGATAATATTGTATGTATATTGTATATTATTATTATGCAAATAACAGATATTTGTTAAGGTCTAGGGGCCATGAAATTCGCGCCTGTAAATGTGTTTTCTGTTTATTGCTTATACAGTTTAGTTACAACTCAACGACGCCAGAAGCGTAATGCGTATATTGTTGAAGCACTCGACGTGATTATCAAGGAATCGTGGGAGGAGTATATAGGAGCTGCAGGTGTAGTGGGGTGTTTGCTTAGAATATGGAAAAACAATAATTTTCTATTTGCTTAAAAATCACGCAATGTTTACCGCTGTTTGGTGTAGAAAGGGAGGGAGAGACATAGCTAGTTGATCTTCTCTTCTTCTTCGTTAAGAATTTTTTTATTTAACCCATTTGACATTTTTTCTTATTTTCGTTTTTCATTTTACAACTCCCGTACATTTTGTATTATCATAGAATAGTAATATTTTCGGGCTGACTATCAAATCGATAAATATACATGCCGCGTTGATACGAGGACAGTACAAAACCAACGGGTTTGGTTGTTGCAATAATTAATAAATCACCATTTTAGATGTTCGATAATCGTGTTGACAGATCACGCACAATCGAATGTGTGACGTGTAATCGCATGCGTGTTTAGACCGCTGGAATAAAGTATTGTTCAAACTTTTGACGAAAATAACTCGTATATTCTGTAGAATTATACTATAGAAACAAATCCAAACCACAATCATAATATGTGCATAATATACACCTTTATTTAAACTGTTAATTTTGGTTCAACTCTGTTTAGTTATTACCTATTGTTAATACTTCCATCAGATATTGGGCTGAATTATTAATTTTTATGTAGCAATGGATGATTATTCTACACTACTCAATTATTGGGTTATGAATTTATGATAAATTTTATCGAAAAACAAACATCACTATACGCATAGAACGTATCCATTGACCTACATTTAGGGTACTTTTGTTTTCGCAAACACGTGTTCATCCGTCCGTATTTTGATGTTTGTTTAAAAATATTATAATTGCAAGGCGCAAGTAAGTGGAAAATCTCTCAAAAAGCCGCCGCGCGTACGCTGTTATAATTTTTCAACCGATTATTTCTTTAAAATGTGTTTTTATTTTTTGCAACCAGGAGGTAAAAGAAAATCGTAAATGCGCATTAATTCAAACTAAGTGTGGGAAACTGAAAACACCGTCATCGTAGCTTTTCAAATAACTTCCGACTAGGCAAATCTCATTTAAACACAAACTCCTCTACAAAAGACAAAATTTTGCGATGTTTTTTCTCGTTCTATATATTATAATACATACTATTATTCATAGTAGACGCGGTTGCTTGGATATGTATAGTGTAACTTTCTTAGAACCCCGAGCTTAAACCAAAATTATTAACTTATTACTGCCACCCCTTTGTCGGGTTAATGTCTTACGTATATATCCGCCCCAAAGGATAATTAATCACCTTGTCGCCTGCATCTTTCCAAGTTCGCAAAACCACCACGTCTATAATAATGGGTATGCAATTAAGACGAGTTTTTTTACTGCCCACCATAAAATACATAGGTCCATCGAAGTAAATAATATTTTATTTTTTTATGCAAATTTGATTGCTAAACGCAATTTATTTTTACAAAACTAGGATATTTTTCGCTGTAGATACGAAGTGTCTAGATACATTATTAAACATTTAAAATTATTTATACGATTTTCAGTGGAATTAAACCTTATCCGATAAAATATGAATGATTCAACAGCCTTTAAATATTATAATGTTTATACCGAACAAGTCCGTACCTCCTATTACTTTAATACTTTTGTCAGCTTTAACTTAAGCGTGTCGGAAACTTTTCAGGAGTTTATCATATTTTAACTCGGTGAATTATTGGGAAAAATCACTGTTTTGAATCGGAGTTTTGTGCGTTATTATCATCTTTGATTGGACTGTCTGTCTTAATTACTTTTTTTTATTACTCGTTTAATTTCGTTTGTAAAAGAGAGTAAAAAAAAATATTAAATTAATTCAGAGAAATTTGTATGAAATAAGCGACGACTTTGTCGGTAAAAGTTTTGTTTTTTATTTTTGATTTATCACTTTTAACTTACATACCATGTTCCGTTCCCCTTCTCAAATATAACAATAACGACAACAACAATAATAATGATACTATATAATCTGCGAGTGTGATGTATTTGGTGAACTGTTTGACTGTTATAATTAGCGGTGAGCAATGAATGGAAATATTATTACAAGAAGAGCAAAACTTCTATAATATGTACACCGAAAGTTTTTCGATTTTGCCCTGTCGGCGGCGATGGTAAGGGCGGCTGCCTTTTCACTGAACGAAATTGATTTCTATAAAATTCAATATAATATATATATATTTGTCCCAACACCGCGGAGATGTCGGTGAAGCTCCATTAATTTTTACCCCACACAATGCGCCCGCACGAATGATTAATGAAAAAACGTCGCGTTGTACTTAAATATGATATCGTATCGTTTAAACAAGTATGCGTGTGCGTGTGTGTATTTAGTGTATATAAACGTTAACATTTATACTCCATTGTATTTTCTCGAGGAAAAAGCGTATACACGTGAGAGGATGAGGGTAAAAATGTATTTCTCTAAGTGCAGTGCGAATATATTATGTTTTACCCGCTACTCGGTTTTGTTTTTACTCGCTTCTCGCGAATTTGTTAAAATCTTTGTACATCGTGTAACTACGGTACTTAATCGATTTTTTTAATTGCCGTGTATTGTTAAGCTATAGATCGTGTAATATTGTAATACGTATAAGTACGGGTTATTGTGGGTTATCGATGAAAACGACTAAATATCTAAATAATACACTGAAGAGGTCGGTATTTCAATAATAATTGATGAATTAATTATCATTATTTGTATTTAATTCCACGAACGAGACACGCGCATTTTTTTCCTAGACAGGTCTCAAAAGTTCACACGGTAATAAAATCGTATTTTTATTTTTAATCGTCCCCTCAGGTTGAAGTTTGCAACTAGCCTTCTGCATTACACTGTACCTACATATTTTCACTACCTGCACCTATACTTATATAATATGCGTGTTATTGTTTTATCATCAAGATATTACAATAATTACAACATATTATACATACTATTATAATATCAATCTAAAATATCGACCACATTTGTATAATACGTATATACTTATAAACGGATGGTTTAAAATATAAGTGTGAAATACCTATGTCAATAAGATTTATTGTACTCTAAAGTATTTCGATTGTGCGAAATATCCTCGGAAAAAACGTTAAGACGATGAATTATGTACACATATTATTTTTGTAACAGTCTAAATTATTTTACAAAGAAAGAAACACGTAGATAAAGAAAATACGGAAAAAAAATTACGATCGCTCCGAACTTAAACTCGCGTGCACTGTGTTTATTATACTGTTTTTTGCGCACTGTTAGCAATGGACGACCGTACCGTCGGAACACCGTCGTGGACACTGATACCGTCGAACGAAACAGCGGCGGTCGCGGCGGCGGCGACTGGCGGACCGAGAGCGCTTCGGCCGCCGCACTTTGCGCGGTGGGTTTCTCTGTACTCCGACTCATAAGCAGTCGAATTTTTTTCGAGCGCCGCTGCTTTTTCCTCTTTCAGTTTTTCTAGTCTTCATCGCACGAAAACAACAATAACAGTTATTATTCATTTTGTAACGCCCCAATGTTAATTTTTAATCATGTTTTCCACTATATTTTTCGACGGTATAATATTTTAGTATATAAACATTATACGCATATTATTTAGTTACCTTTATAAGATTTACTTGTCTGTCGACATTTCTATTATATTTTTCTTAGTCTATTTTTTATTCTCATAATTTTTGTCTGAATTGGATTATGGTATAATGCCTGGTACATTATAATACTTACAGACGGGTATTATGCGATAGACGCGTCGTACTTTATCATCGATATTGCAAATTATATATTATATCCAGAAAGAATGATACTATGAGAGGACGATACATAATAAACTGCTGTACAATAATAATATACACTTTTATGTATAATGTATATCATGTATTATATTATATGTATACGAACTAATATAGTACCAGTATAGTCTTTGGTCTCGTAAACATTTGTGTTTACTGCTTTCCCCTTCCGGCTACGAATGATTTTTTTTTTCGTATTACTTTTTTTTGTTTGACTGTGTATATAATGAAGTCGTGCGAGCTGGACGATTCGGAAATCCGATATAAAATACGGAATTGTTATTATGTTATCCAATACAAATATAAATCTGCATATTATGCAGTGTCGTTTTGGAGCTTTGTTGTTATACAATATTTATTTATATAATAAATGCTATATTATTTCTTCACAATATCTTTCCGATTTGTCATATAATATTTTAACTTATAACATAATATGTATATTATTTTTCGTTTTGTTTATTTAATATGATCATGTACACTCGTATAGTCGTATGATATAATAAAATAATATGTATTATATATATCTTAAATGTAGGTATATAGTATAAAAGTATATACTATACCGGCAGTCGTATATTATATGTGCGTTTGTAAACTGTAGTATAATATAAATTATAATATATTGTGATGTCGCGCAACAATCGCAGTGCGAACAGAGCAGATGACTGTGCGCGGTGGATTTGGTTTTCGGAGAGCAATGCAGTTTAGTCGTGTATTTATTTTACGGTTCGGCAGTCAATTCGGATTCTGCCAAATTCGCGAACGTTGTTGTGGTACAGGGGGAATGGGGAACGTGGGGAATTTATACGGTTCCCTCGTAAAATCTGTCGTTTTATCGTGTCGCGCGAATAGAACCGAAACGTGATAAATATAAATTGTTATCACGCGACTGGTGCTGCAGAGAAATAAACACGCGCGCGTGCTATATAATAATAGTTTAATATAAGCCGACGGACAGACAGACGGACGGTGACCGACCAGGGTGAGGGTGAAAGATGGGACTTTATACAAGGCACTGCCGACACACGCCACTGGCATACAGTGGCGTACACGGGGTGTATCCTAAGGGGGAAACACACGCTAGGGGATGTATAATGGGACATAGCCTATATATATTATTATTTGATATAATGACGGGGAAATGGCTGGCTCTGGGCCGTAACTGATTACGACGACAATGGCTAAACATAATATATATATTATATATGTTTATTGTTTATTGTTTACGGACACAGTACTGAAAACACCGTGCCATCAGCGTGTTGTCCAGCCGCTTCGATTTTTCGGGTGGAACTATTTTTTTGATATTTTTTCTTTGGTAGAAATTGATAAAGAGTGCTCTTCATTGGTTTTGGGAAAATATACAATCACAATATATATAAACATAATATGTACTCGTTGATCGATTCTATACTTGATGCCATATTTTAGAAACCAATTGCTCTCAACAATATGTTTGTAAAGGTCGTGTCATAGTCGTTGCGGTCATTCAATTTATAATTTATGAATTTACGATATATCAGGTATTATTAAGTTTATTGTTCATATACACGGTACAGACGAATACAATTTACATACAAGTATGTTGACATAAAAATAAAATATTCATTTAAGGCTCAAAAATTATAATTAAAGTTAATTGAACGGATATTATATATGTATAACTATAAATATTGACTGACGAGTGATTGTCGATAATCAATGAAGCGACAGTTGTATATTTTGATTTTTTTTTAACAATCATTTTAGTTATATTGTTATTGTTGTATCACCAGTGCGGCATTTAAACATTTTGTGCCCTGGTGTATAAAAAAATTGGCACACCTAACGGGGTCCTACCCAAGGGGAATATGGGAGATAGATCAGCTTGAACTTTTTAGATTTTGAGCAACGAAAAGAATTGGTTTTAAAATAATGAGTGATTATTTTTTAATATTGTTTAATAATTCCATGAATACCTCCCCCTTCACTAAGATAAAATTGAGTGTATGCTACTTGAGCCCTGCTTATAGTTCATGATGATAGAAGCTGTTTTTTTTACATATTTAGGTACCTATGTATTTCATGGATCATTTTATTGTATTATAATGAGCAAAGTAAAAATAAATGTAAGAAAATTATATTATAAATTATGCAAATTCATATTATATTTTTTCAATAAATATAACTGTTTATAAATAATTTTAATAAAAACAATTACTGTTTAAAACTTTAATATTTAATTAAATGTTCGATAAAATTAGGAATTTTTTTAATTTAATAAATCATCAAAAATGTTAGCCTATGTATTAATTTATTAAGTTGTAATAGGTACATGGTTTTGCATATTTTAGAATATTTAGTGCATATTTTGACCTTTATAGTGCAGAGTTAAGAGCATTTTTTAAATAATTTATGTCTATTGAATCACAACAAATTTAGGAAAAGGAACTATGAATAGTTAGGCGTACATTAATAATTATCGATCGTTGATACCTATAAATACATTAGTTGCTTCAATTTCAAACAGCCACAGCATATTACAATAATAATATTAAAATATTGAATTAATTAAAATTTTAAAAGTCTTAATAATTCACAAGTCATCAAATTGTCGAGCTCATAATATTAGTGGCCCCCCAAATATTGATGCCCTGGGCAGTTGTTGTAACAGCCCCCCTAAATTCCACCCCGTTTATTTATGGTGGTGTATATATATGTATGTGCATAACTTATTTATAATATATTGTGTTGTGATTATTTTAATATCCTCGCTATATTAAAATGCTAGGAATTTATAATGCTGAATAATGCATGTACTATACAAGATATATTATCTTTCACATCCCGGAAAAAAAATCATTTTCTTTGATCTTTTCTCTTATACTATATAGTTCGTTTTGTCTTATTCGAGTTAGTATGCGCTTGTTGAATATACATATATGTATAAGATATAATCGGTATTTGGTAGAGTTGGATGCATGCAAAAATGTATCCATTTTTTAAAATCAATTTTATTTTTAGTTTCGTTTATTACAGTTACGTTATATATTGCTGTATTATATATTAATGTCAAAATCATTATATTATATACTCTATACATAATAATATATGCATACCTAATTATTTTTGATCGTTGATGTCTAAATACTTACATCATAGTAACGTTTAAACTATACAAAAACAAAATGATGATGATAAAATTGAATGATATAATGATACAGACATATTATTAGCTATTTTATTGCATATTTCATAAATTATTAGTGTATATTGTATGTCTATATTTTATTTTATTTTCATATTAAATTTAATAAAAAAAAACATATAACTCAAAACCATTAAATAGTTATTATGTTTACCATAGTAATAATAGCGTTGTTATTTAATATCACGACTGAAACGAAACACACACAGATAATAATATATGGATTATATTATGTATGGATTATTATAATAAAACGATAACAACTAACGAAAAAAATAGAATATCATATGAATTATCAAACAAGAGGTTAATTTAATTTAATTTTTATTATGAATAGGTATAATGGTATATCATTAATGTCTGTAGTCTATACACATCTCAAATAATATTAAGAATTTCGTTTTACGATAAATTAATAGTACCTATAGTCGTAAATTATATATATTTTTTAAATATAAGTTAATTTGGTCGATATTAATCTTAATATTGTATGTAGGATTAAAAATATTTGATTAAATCATAAAATAACAAATACATCTGTATGTACTTATATTTGTTTAATGTATTTGATTTTATAGTTTTAATTTACAACTTAATTTATTATATTATTCCTCGTTAAGTATAAATAAATAAGGTTTTCATTATTATAGGAATTAAATACATGGTTGATATCTTAATATCATTAATGCTCATTAATTTGTTAATGAATAATTTTAATAAAATATATTTTGGGTCGTTACTTTATTAAATCTTTGCTGCTCAAATTATGAATGTTATACTACACAGGCGCATATTATACTTTAGTTAGCTAGCTGTTAACAAATTTATTTTTTAATGAAATTATTATACATAGTGGATGAGTACTGAAGGTGAAATTAGGTCTTTAGAACTGCCGAGTAATGCGTGCGCAATTCCTATACCAACGCTTATTATTACGTTAAAAAAATGTTTGACAATATGATATTAATATGATATCGTAATTGTTAAGGTAACGCGTTATTTATTAATTTTAAACTATATGAAATAAACAATGTTTACCAAAACCGTTGGTGAAATTAGTACCATGCTATAATATATTATATTATCGTGACAATGAATTTTATTTGTTTTCTGACGAAACATCGTCACGCCGTCACGGTGGAAGAATGCGAGTTTGAAGAGTGCACATATATTGTAATATAAGTGTGCGTTAAGGAAGTGTATGTGTATTATTGATTTACTATTTTTGTATATTATATATATGTGTGTGTTGGCTATCAGTAGTCATATTACCAAAAAATAATCGACGGTTTGATTTCAAACACGTGTTTCATATTGTGAAATCCGAACGGTTGAT